GAGTTTACACGGCTGGAAGAAGGTTTACAAGAAATTAATTTCTTGAAATTGTACAGATGAATTACAAAGCAATGAGTTACAAAACAAATAATCAAGAGACCCGTTTAATATGAGAAGCAGCTTTACTGGAATTTCTCCTTGACAGATCCTGCGGTACCTGCAAAATTATTTCCTGTGGTACCTTGCTTACACATATTATCCAATTATCAGCTTGCCTGTAAGCAGTTTCGAAAGAGAAAGCCATCGGCACTTGCCAGTGGATAGATGCTAACTGGCATTTTCTAGCACCTGTAATACTTCCGAGTATTTTCGTCTCTCACATAAAGTGAATACGGCGGAAGAGGAAGGGGGTGGGGGTGGACTTACAAATCAAGAAACTAGTTAGCCAAAACCAAAGTAAATACTATAAACAAAAAGAAAAAAAATCTACTGTACATGTGTTCGGCAAGAAAACTTTAGCACCATGACCACCATCACGAAAATCATAGAGATCGCCCGCGTTATCGCTACAGTAACTCCTAATGTTACCGCAATGTTGTCCCCCAGAAAACGGGGGTGACGAATTCTTGACGAAACTGAGAAGCAAGTCATTATCAACGGCTATGTAATGTCTACCAGTGTTTTGCCTACGCGTTTTTCCAATGGATTTCTTCCATAAAACAACGTAAAGACAAAATAAATAACGGCGCGCACCAAGGTAGCCAGTGCCATCATGTTTTTTGCACAGTTCCGCCCTGTGGACGTTTGCTGTTAAGAATTTGCACTGTTTTACACCTTGGTGTGTGTGCAAAAATAGTCTGGTTTCTAAACTGCGAAATTTCCCACTAAAAATCTCACACACTGACACGTGGAATATAAGCGCACACAAAAGCTGAACATGGAAGCTTCGAGTCGCACAAAGAAGGAAGGGAGACATCTCTCCAAAACTTCAGTTCCCTGGTTTTCTTGCTATCGAGTTAGCGACTTTCGCGCCAAAACTTTCACGTACTCATGCAAAAGAACTTAGCGTATTTGGGAGCTAAATTTGAGTTCCGAAGGTCAATGCACAGGCAGAAAACATCCTCTTAATCCAGGAATGCAAGTAAAAACTAACTTCATGACATTTCTGGGCATAAAGTAAGCTTGCCAAAAAGCTCGGTGATGAGAGCTGCTTCTCGAAATTTATTCGATCGCTTTCCCAGGGCACCCTGAAAAAAACCAAAATTTACAGTGAGCTCCAATACGGAGTAATCATTATGCATCCACACTGGGCAAATCTATGCCCCGAGCCTTTCTATCCCGAATTGCATTTCTCATAGCCATCGCTAACACTATGTATATGTGATTCCCTGACACTAATTTTCACTCTCTAAACTGTTATTCACAAGCAAATAATATCTACCGGTTTCCAGCTAAACAATCGGCTTGTCCGCATACAATTTAAAAATCTCGAATTTGACTGGTTCTGATGCATGAGCATGGTTTTGATGTATGAGCACGGAAAATTTTGATGAGAAATTGCTAACTCGAGAACCAGAGAAGCCGGGACTGAAATTTTAGGAGGATGTTTCCTGCCCATGGCATTTTTACTTACTGCTACGGTCACAACGATGATCTAACACTCTGACTG